TTCTTTGTTTTGAATCTTTATTAGCACGTTCTGGTGAAGTATTGTGACCATTTTTTGCACTATCAGTTATTTCTTCAATATCAGGACTATCGCAACTTCCATTTTCTTCACAGATTTTCACATCAGATGTATCCATGCTACTATCAGCAATGTCACTACTGACATTAATTTGTAAATCACTACTGCCTGATGAATCTTTATTATCTTTAAGGGCAGAATTTTTCATAGTGAACACATCATCATTATCTGAATGTATTTCTGTTATGTTTTCATCAAGACATTCAACATCTGAATTATTACTTTGTTCATCAACTTCCATAGATTCACATGATGTGTTTTTACACTTATCTTCAGTCTTAGACACTTCACTAAAATTGTTTATCTCACTGACACCCTCTGAGGATTTAGACATTTTAGAGTCATTTTCTGACTCTGACATTTCACTTCTTTTACTTCTACTTTGTGCTATCCCATTCTGTTCACTATTTTCAGGTTCTAAATCCCTTTCTTCAATTTCAACTTCCATTCTATGTTTGTCCTCATCATCTTCATTTCCATTTGCTTCCCTTTTTTCTTTTACTACACTATTAATTTCTTTTGACACGAGTTTGGATATATTAGTATCCGCATCAATGAATTCTTCCTTGTCATTATAATTTCCATTAATCCCATTTGGAATCACATCTGCAAAATATAATAAAACATTTTTATACAAAATGTTAATATCTTTTTAATGTTAAATATATATCATATTTAAATATTACATGACAAATGAAGAAAACTATTAATATTTTTCAATAATCTAATTATAGATTATTAATCAAATTACTAAAATTATTTAATGAAATGTATTTATTATTGTAATTATTAACATAAATTAAAGAATGTAATTTAATATATATTAAATGAGAAACATTTTTATACGATATAAATAAAGTACAGTTTTTTAATGACACCCAAATTTAATTAAATGATAATAATAGAATAATGTCAAGAAAAAATTAAAAATCTAATGTCATTATTTAACAATAATCAAAAAAAATGTGAAATAAATATAAAAATGAAAATTGAAAGAATCAGAAGGCTGTTCTAATAATTTCAAACAGGAATGGAATATTATACCTTTAAGAATCTTATCAGGACTAGCTTGAGACGAGTCCTTAATAGGGGGTTCTTCCAGCGTGCCTTCCATGGGGCCACCACTGTGCAGTTGATCTAAACAATTAATAAGAACACAGGAATAAGCGGCTCGTGGCGACGACGCGTTTCATTACATCGACGATATGAACGCGAGGGCGGGGAAAGAGAGGGAATTTTTAGCGGGGCCGAATTTTTCAAAATGGCGCTGCGAATTCCGTACTCCTATTTCCTTGTTCCCATAACCAACAAAGTTCGTAGTATGTTACTCTCCAGTCGACGCGTTACCGAAATGCGTTCACTTGGTTCGGAAAAGTCTTGGCACACACAGATTATAGAAACGATTAAAGAACAGAGAACTACTAATGAATAAAAATGATCGAATAAGCGAAATCCTGTGTAGTAGCTTGAATGGTTAGCGTCTCTCAGTCAGTCACCTGCACTCGCTAGCCACCGCGTCCGAGCGCCAGCCAGCCAGCCAGTCAGCCCTCCACCGTACCTCTCTTCACTCAACCTTCACAACCTACCAACCTACACCTATATCTACAACTTACACATCGAACTTTCGCCTCTCCTATACATTCACATATATGTAAACATACACGCAATCATACGCACACACGCCTTAATCATCCATAGGTGAGCGCGCGAGCGCACAACCTTCCGAACTCTATACTACATGCCGGACAACACGCCAACCACCTACAGAACAACCCTATGACCTACCGAATCTGAATATGACAGATTGATTTCCTACGACAATACAACATTTAAATGAATTTCCCTTACAAATATTCAATAGTTTACATCCATGTGACAAGAAAAACTGTGACAAACAAACATTCTAATATAGACGAAAAAAGAACTAGATAAACGCATACCATTTTGTTAAATTATGTATATATATAAATGTGATCCATCCGATTAGCGTTTACATCCAAAATCCTACTAGAATTTTTCCATTTACTGCTTATAGTCATGTCAAACACTCGTTCGTTGAAAAAAGTTTTTTGCTTATCTAGTGTATAAAATATAATAAAATTAAGATAAACTTTCTTTTTTAATCCGTTTAAAAAACACAACACATTCTTTTAAAAAAATCACATTCTTCTAAAAGATGCTGAGTATACTTTAACCTACACAAATGCTTAACTTGATGCAACATGCTTCATCGTTGAAAATAATAGTATTATTTGGAATTCGGAAAACGCGAAAAAGAATTCGAGTGATTGAAGACATAAGGAATTCCATTCAGTATGCTCGTTCGGGACATGTCTCGTGCTACTTAACTCGCTATCCACGAATCCCGGCAGATCTATGAGGTAATGGAACGCGTACTCCATCCATCTCCTGTCACCAGGCACAAATAATACGCACCTGACCGCTTGCTGTCCTAAACAATTTTCTGATACCGCGACATTTTCACAACCTGCAATCTTCAGTGGCGGCGGTGGAGTTACGATTTGTCCTTATACACACGATACACGATTTATTCACAAAACCTGTAAATAGTGAACATTCATCGCTGAAAATTAGGCACCAGAGGGCAGGCGCGACGTTGGAAACGTTAAAAAGTTATGCCCAGGGCCGTCGCAAAAAAATGGGCTCTTTTTTATAAAAGTTAAATAGAAATAAAATTAAAAAGAATCACAAAATAGACAAGAGATTTAATAATCTCTGTTTTATTTCGACGCTATTTTATCACTATATAACTGTTTTTTATATGAATGGAATTAATTTGAAACAAAAATTAATAATATAATATAATAAAAAGAAAAATTATTGATTTAATTAAATACTGAGTAATTTCTTTGCTTCTATTTTAAAAATAAAATAACAAAACTGGATTCTATCTATCTGTGATACGTTTGTTTATTTTATAAAAAAATATATTTAAAATATTTAAAATATATAAAATTATTATAATTATTTAAATGTTTTAATAATTTAAAATATATAAAAAAAAACATGATTCAGTCATTTTTTATTTTAATATGCTATACATATTAAAATAAAGAAATATATAATTATATTAATTATACTTAAATAAACAAAATTAGAAATATTAATATATAATATATATTTTATTTAGTTGATTTGAAAAATTCTGCAATTTTAATAATTTATATTAATTATTTAAAAAATTCTACTGTAATTTTAATATACAATATTTCTCTCAGGATTCTTCGTATATTGCTGATCATGCACTTAAGCAAAATAATGATGCAAGATTCAAAGAATAAATACTTTGCTTAAATATAATTTCAGAGATAAATTATTAGCGAATTTCCTTATCAGATCGATAAATTAAATATAAAAATAATGATAATAAAATATATTATAAATTTCATTAAATAATTTTCAATTCGTAAATGTTATTAAAATATTTAATATAATTTAATTAAGTTACGTATGTTAATGGCAATCGATATATCATAAATGAATTATATGATTATAATAATAATAATCTATTTATATTACAATTTATCAAAGAGATGTAAATAGCAATGCATACATTCAAAACAAATAAAACAATTCTATTGAAAAAAATCTATTTAACAAAAGATAGGAGTTAAAAGTATGGGAAATGCGCAAGGGAATTGAGAGGATTGTCACGGCCCTGGTTATATTGTGTTATTCGGTATCAAAACTATACAAATCATAAAATCCAACAAATCAATCGCAAGTCCCTTGGCGTTCTTTTACAAATAATATTTTGTTTTTATCTACGATCAGAAGCTGAAACACTCATGTTTACTGATTCATTGAAATTTAGAAAGCTGCCGCCATCTCTTCATAAGGGCTGGCTCAACTGTCGAACAGCTGCCGTGGTGGTCGCTAGCCGATCGCGATTATCCCCACAAAGAGGACTAATAATCAAAACACACACACATCGCAAATGCCGCGCTATTTAAATTCACTGACCGTTCGTAGCACTGATAAATATTCGGCTACACATGCAACTCCTTCGACACTTGATATACACCGTTTTTATATCAGAATTATTCACATATACTTTGTGTTTATTTGGGTTCGACGTCACGGATCCTTCTTACCTTCGTCGTCGAAAACTGCCAAGATGGCGACGATAATCACGTGACCGTAAATTTTATGACGTACGTGTAATGTTAAAGGGACGAAACGACCAGTAGCGTTTGTTATATATAGTCACGTGATCTGGTACACGTGCACATCCAATGAGAGGCTCTCTCAAGAATAAGGACAATCTGCAATTGCAACAATGTATAGTAATAGGGTTGACTAACAAGTCCCCGCCCTTTTCTGTAGATTTCTTCATGAGACACCCCTGATACGAGTAAGAATATTTAAAAATTTTATCATTTTTATAAATTTAGTTATATAAAATATATTTGTATGTATGTGCGTATAATTAATATTTATTTATATTTAATATATATTATATATTATATATATATTATATTATATATATATATATATATATATATATGTATATATATATGTATATATCAAAATGACGTGATTTTTTTATAATAAATTTTTATTTTATTTGCAATTATTTTTTACAATATTAGAAAAAATCATTTAATTTACATATATAATTAAGTATATAATTTTAATTCTTTTATAAAGAGATATTTTTATTTATCAAAATTTTTTATATTTATAAAATTGATTATATTTAATTTGTTAACATTATTATTTATATTTTATTTATATAAATTTTTGTTGAATACATAAATGTATTTTACATAATTTTGTTATAATAAATAATATTTATATTATATTAATTATTATATATTATAAAGTCTATAATATATATATTAAAAATATATTTGAAATATTTTTCAGAATACATATAATAAGCTTCATTTCATATTTTATATATTTTAATTATAAAAATATTTAATACACATAAGCATTATAAATTATCATCATCATTTTCATTGAAAGATAATATAACTTTTTCTTGTTTTGTTTTCTTTATTTTCTTTTTTACTGGTTTATCTGCTGGTTCTAATTCTGTTGTTATTTTGTTTTTTCTAAATATAATTCGTTTAGATAAATCTGCAGGAGCATTAGCCTCTTCTACAATATAATATTGATATATAATTTATCTTTTATTATTTAATATTACAAGTAAAAGTTATGAAACTTATACCTTCTTCTTTTTTTTTCTTATATGCCTCTGCTTGCTTTGCAGTTAAATGTTCAGAATTTAATACAACTACAACAGGTTTCTCTTCTTCACGTTCTTCTTCATCATTATCTGAATCTTGTGGTAATATTTCTCTCTATTTTAAGACATTATTTAAATAATTATTTATACTGATTATAAACAAGCACTTATTATAATATATTTAATGATTTAATGATAAATATTTTTTATTATAGTATATAATTATTAATACATAATTACGTTATAGTTAATAGTTAATAGTTTTAGAATTGAATAATAATTAATGTATAACGAATAATAATAAAATATAATACCTTCGTATCGATTGTAGGTCCTTCCTTATATCCGATTTGTTCTTTTAATTCGCGTAAAAATTTTGGTTCATTCGGTTTAATATATGAAACATTATGTTTTTTTCTAGACATTATATTGTCTTCCTAATATTTGAAAATATAACCTAACTTAAGGATATCACTAAATAGTATTATATATAGGCATAAACGCATATTCTACATAGATTGGAAAGTAAGATTTGTCTAGTAAAATTTACTAGTATATTAATCTTGTTTAGTTGGTAGGAAGGAAAAAATAGGAATTTTTATGCAAATTGATTTCAACCACAAATTAATATTTATATTAACAAAATGTTAAAAAAAAAAAAAAATGAAAATTTTAACTTAATTTAAAATATATTTAATATTACATAATATTTAAAATTAAATTAAAATATTTAAAAATCAAAAAATTCAAATATGTTTATTTTAGGATTATATGTTGCTGTTTCATGGAATTATAGAATAATATCAAATTCGAAATAATATGCTTTGATAATTTATTAATTTCGTGATAACGATAATAATACTATTAACGTTTTTCACAGTTTACAACTGTTTTTAACCAATCATATAATCAACTATCGATAAAAATTTAAAAAAGATTTAAAAAGCGCCATGAACATTTATATATCTATTATCATATTGTCCGGAAATATTAGTAGAAAACCATTCGTTGGTCAAATGATAATTTAGTTAACCAAAATCATAACGAATCGTATATGTCCCAAAAAGTTTCAAAAACGATGGTCCGTTCCTTTATCGTTCGATGAGAATATAATAATGTCACGATATAAAGCTGAATATAAAGAGTTAAATGCGAACAAGTCCGATATACGATATACGTTAAATACGTCGTCGTTATTCAGAACTTGATACATATAATAATTATATGAGTATCTTTATTAGAATACAATTTTCAATGAAAAGAATGATTTACAGACGCGTCATTTCAGAATTATTTAGTGCCCTTAATTTCCCATCCGAATGGCTAGATCGACGATGTCGAATTTGAGCGTGCGTACTAATAATATATCCACCTTCCTCTTGTCGATTGTGTTTCTCCACTTGAATAACCGGCATACATCGTGGAGCTGGCCCATCTAAACATTCACAGCTCAAACTGGCATCTAACTCGCCTTGATATGGTGGCGGTATTAACAAACTTTCGGTAGATTTAGTTGGCTGAAAGTGTCTACTAGAATTGCCCGAATATGTAGTACCACTACTTGTTCGTCTTTGAACAGTACCAGTTGGCGTTTTCGCTCGTCCATGCGCATTCTTTCCTGGTCTTTCGGCGCTATGCGTTTTTATAGTAGCCGTATCCAAATAACCATATCCGAAACCGTAACCACCGAACGCCTTGGTAGTCAGATTGTCCCAGGATTTTGGTTTGGCATACTGAAGGCACGGTGGTGGTCGTTGATGTACATTTGGATCCCAATAGAGAGTATCCGTGCTTAGGCTCGTTGAGCAAGAGGCTACGCTTTCAGCTGCGGTCGAAATATCGCTGCTGGTAACAGAATGTAAACTATGTCCTGATGTGCGCGAGCAGTTATGTGTACCATGTGGTTGTTGCTGTTGTGTCTGGTTCGATTGTACATGATGATGCTGGATTTGTTGCTGCTGCTGCTGCTGTTGTTGCTGCTGTTGCTGCTGCTGTTGTTGTTGTTGTTGCTGCTGCTGCTGCTGCTGATGATTTTGTTCATTCTTCGCTCTTCTTTGTTTTTCTCGACGTCTACGACTAGGTACACAATTAGGATCACAGCATGGACTGGCTAAATCGTATGCGTCTAAACTGCCGCTATCTGATTGTTCTCTACGACGACTGGCGCTTGAAATACAAGCAACGCATAAACTATTTTGCGGAGGAGGGTGAAGAGGAAGTGGATTTTCACCACTACTAGATTGTTGTTGCTGTTGTTGACAAGATTTGTGCGATTTCGATTTGGCCGGTGTGCTATTCATCCCGTTTGCTTGATGATAACTATGTCGTGACGAAACAGTCATTCCTGATTCACTCGACATCTTCGAGAGAAAATGATGATGATCGCTTCGTGAACGGGGAGGCCCTACTGTTACTAGGCAAGCGGTGTTTCGAGGAACTAGACATGGTCGTCCATCTGGAAACTATAAAATCATCCATTATTTTTTTTTTTTTTACTAAAATCTAAATAATCTGAAATATAAATGATGTTTTTAATATACCACATTGTAAAATAACAGATGTTCCGTAGATGTAGCCGGTCGACAGCATTGAATTGTAGAAGAATTGAAACTTGACGATGGTGATGGTTGATTAGCGTTACTAGTAATTACACTATTAGGCGTTCTTTTACGGGCTGGCAGTGAATGGGTTTTCCATCGACCCATGAGAATAGATCGTTCCCTCTCACAGAGTCTTTCTAGCTCACCAAGGCGTGATTGTAGAGCACGTTGTAGTTCAATATAACGCATATGCAATTCCACCTGAAAAAATCATCGATATTGTACGTTCAAATCTGAAACGATAAATTCAAATGGTTATCGGTCGTTGACCTTCTCGATATTTACTTTTCTTACACAATCTTCAAAAGATACAACCATTCGCATTCTAGTATCACAGTTTTTTATGAAATTGACTAATGTCTTATGATCCGCTCTGTCCATTTCGTGGCCGTTTATCGAAAGTATCACGTCACCCTCTCGCATACCTGCTTTGAACGCTGGTCCATCGTATTCCACGTAATCAACATACGTGACCATCTCGATTTCCTGCTCTCGCTTGTAATGTATCCCATAACTCTGTCCAATTTCAATTGTCACTCAATTAAAAATTTTATATTTAAATCAAAGTTTATATATATTTTTTTTTTTTTTGAAATAATAAAAATTCTAAACAATATATTACTATGCTATTTCATAGTAACATAATCACAGAATATAATTAAGATATAATTAAAGAAGATACATACAGATGTTATTGCATGATATGGATGAACGAGCAGATTACCTGTAACGTGAAACCGTATGTGCCATTTTTCTTCTCAACGATAATGGTACGACGACGTCTGTCTTCATCCGCTCGTGTTACTCGATCTGACTTTGATCTTTCTAGCACAGCCTAGAAAAAAGTATGATACTGGTAAGTTCGTATGATAAACGGAAAACAAAGAAGCCTCTATTATCATTCTCTAACATTGCATTACTTCGTCTAATGGAACATATTCGTTCCTATAAGCTAAACAAATTTTTACTAAATTATCTACATCCTAAATGTAGCGTTGCAACGAAATTAACGTAACCCAAAACATACGATGCATTTTTGGAAATACTTGCGCGATAATCGGGATTAATTAAATAAAATCAACAGACATATCTACCAACATGAAACGCAAAAAAAACTGGTACAACAAACGATAACAATAACAATGACAACAATAACAACAACAATAACAATAACAAAAAAAATAAGAATCAGATAATAAGATTCAACACACGTTGTGCAATCCACAGAATTTCCTTGACCACGAAAAACAACTCGAAATGGGCAACAAGAAACTGCTCGAGGAAGGCTGTTTCAGCAAATAAAAATCATTCTTTCGATACACGAGTCGATGTAATAACATTACACATTCCACGACACCACTCCATTCCTCCTCGTCGCTGTTCTCAACGCCGGCACGGTGTTGTTGCCCGGCCACCTCCGTATTCTGCGGCGAGTTGTTCATGATCCTTTGAAACGTGACACAAAGAAACAGGAGCGAGCGAATCGAATTATCCCCGAAGAAATATTTCTCTGTGCGCGGATTCGATCACCACCTGGGGGGGGGGGGCGGGGGGGAGGAGGGATCCTACGTGGCCGTGTGGTTGAGACGTGGTGCAAGCTAGGTATCGGGGCGTACGCGCGTAATCCCGTTTCTTATTCACTTTCGAACGTCAGCTTCACTTTCACGTTTCTTTCTCTCTCATTGTGCTTACATTTCGACAGGCGACGCCAGCCAGCCAGCCAACCAGCCAGGCCGCGAGGTTAACGTGCGTTTAGGCGCGATTATATACGTGCTCTTTTATTGTTATCTTCCTTCCCGGCTGGTGTCGCCGGTTCCCAATGCGCTTGCCCGACAATATCGGCTTACAACCCCGACCGTTCGGTGGTAAGCACTGAGGGTGGCGGAGGAAAGAGAGAGCACGCGCAGTCTCATCATCCAGTGATCCCTCCTCTCTCACGTTCACCCTTCGTTCCTTCCTTCCGTCACCTTTTGTCACCCACCTTCCTTCCCTTCCTCTCCCTTCCCTTCCCTTCGCCTATGTGGGACAGGAATAACTTCTCGCGTGCAATGTCCTTGCGGTTTGCATTGATGATTTGTTTCCTCCAGGAATCGGTGTCAGCGAACATCAAATCAAGTTTTCTTCTTTTTTTGATGGAACTTTCTTTCTTTTTACGTTTATTGACATCTATTATGAACGAAGTCAGTTTTATATACGTATACTTTTTTTACTTTATTATATTGGAGATCGTTGAGGTTTGTTAAAATATTTGCTATTTCTTTGCTTTGAATGGTGATAGATACACGAAGGAAAGTAATTTTAAAAAGGAGAGATGTGGTAATATGTTGAAATAAATACGTTTAAGTAAATAAGGAATAATCAAATACACGCGTTAATATTAAGTTTTTTTTTTTTTTAATTTAAATAATAATTTGTTAGATGTATTTATTTGTTGATAATTTATTTTCTATTATACATATGTAATCGGTTTTTATATTATTAAACAGTATTGAAGAAATTCTTTCATTTTTAGGTCGTTTTTGTTACATAGAGTATTGTTATATTTAGCAAAAGAATAATGAAAGAGAATGAAAACTGGTGCAAACAGGGAGAACATCCCACTCTTTCTTTTATGTTTCTCCACTATTTCCATTTCTGTACTTCGCCGAACTGTACCCCGAACGACGAAAATAACATGTCATGACGTCGTTGTCGTGGATTTCGATGTATTTTTATAAATATCTCGACGAACAGAGAAATAAACTGCCTAATAAAGAAAATAAAAAATGAAAATGAAAATAAAGAAAAAAAGAATAAAAAAAAAAAGCACAGAAAAAGAATGATCGAATCATTCACCGAATGAACTCGTTTGCTATTTCTTCTTCTTTTTTTCCGTGCTTATCTCTTTCTCAACTTTTTTCGTTTCTTTTTCTTTCACCGTGACTTTTTCTTTCACTGTGACTTTTTCTTTCACTGTGATTTTCTCCACCGGTGGGGAAATTGTAACCATTGGTTTTTGCAAAGGCGGTAGAGGTGGAGGCTTTGGTTTTGGAACTGGGACGTGTCTGCACAAATTAATCACTCGTTTCGTTAAAATGTCGAGTTTATATTAATTCTTAATTATGTAACATTTATTCATTATATGATCAGACATTTTTGTAATGTATTTAAAATGAATCCTTGTTTTCCCTTCATTTCAACAAAATTCAAATTAAAAAAACCAGCATTCTTTTATCATTTGCTACTTGCTCGTTAGATAGAAAATAAAATACATATATTTAAACACTTTACGAATAATTGATCAATTATTGCTAAGCATATGAAAAAATCTATGAAGATTTCTATCTATCGAAGAGTTTTGTGGAGTTTTATTCTTGCAATAACTGATGGATCGAGTTATTTTAATTTTTACGAAGAGTGATCTTTTGTATAAATGAGTTTTAAACGAATAAATATTCTTTTTCTTTTTCTTGCTCTACATTCTTGTTCTAATGCATTATATGATCGAGAGTTATTTACAGAAAAGGAAGAAATCCTTTTTGGATTCATGAATGAAGTATATCTCTTGTGCAACAAGAAAAGAAAAAAAAAATTACTTAATCTTACTTGATGGACATATGTATTTCTTGCACTGATCTGTCCTGAGTAATATTGATCCAAATATTCGACTGTGTCCTCGGTTTAAGGCAGAAACCTTTATCCACGCAACATTCCGCATGATCGAGTTCTTCCTGGGCCCGAAACTTCCTTTCCCAACATTCCTCCCATTTGCGTAAACGCTCCTTCTCCTCCTCCTCGCGCTTCTCTCTTTCTTCCCGATCCTTTCTCTTTCTTTCCAATTCTTTCGCCACTTTCTTTGACTTGCGCTTCTTTTTTTCATCTCCCCGCTCCATTGTTTTTGCATTTTCCCCATTCTTGACATCTATCCTTTCCCAACACGGTTCACCAATCACCACTTCCGGCCGTTTTAATTGTTGCGAGAAAGTTTCCTCTTTAATTGCCGGTGTTATCTGTCTCGTTTTTCTATTCGGATCGAGGAGAACGTATAGAAATATCGCCTCCAATTGAAGAGTTATTAGTATGTTTTCAGTAAGAATCTTAATTAATGCATGATACGGGTTGATTAACTGAAAATTAAAAAGAAACATTAATGAAGAACAGATAAAATTGTGGATTGGACTTTTTTTTTTTTTTTATATATGTATACGCCAATAAGTAAGTCTTGAAACTCGAGTGATCATTTTTGACGGGAACATTATTATACTAATAATAAATTATAGTGATTATTGATAATATTGATAATATAAAATTTGTTAAATGTCAATTGCATTTTAAAAATATAATTTCAATTAAAGATAAATAATTTCGATTATATATGTCAGTAATCCGAATGGTAAATTTTTATTTATATATCTTACATGATAAATGTCGTTAACAGTCTTTATCGCGTAAAAAATAAAATTATACAATTAAACGTAAACTTATAAAGTCACCTATGACCAGTCGATATTAATTATTATTTAAAAAAAATCTTGTTTAATTACTGAGACAACGTGTAGTATTATTTTTTGATTTTTGTCATGTATTTCTGTTGCATTTATCATATTAACGGAAAATTTTGTGGTTGGAAGTATGGTTGGAACTATGGTTGGAAGTACGAAATGAACATAATTAAATATCAAAACAAAAACCAAAGTGACAATTTATTAAAAGATAATTTCATTTTAACGACCTCTGAAAAATTCTATAAACGCTTATCTTAAAATTTTTCGATCCTTTCATGAATTATTTTCATTTTATTTTCGAAATATATTCTTCTTAAAATACGTTATATGTATATTATATAATATAAAATTCTTCATGATAGATTTATTAAAATTATTATGACTTATTATATTATTTATAAATGAAAATAAATTGTATTCTAGTTTTCTAACTTCTTTCAATTTTGACAATATCTCTCTGCTTTTTTTTGCAATTTTATTTTATCATTAGAACAAGATTTTAATCGAAAGAAATAATTTTATTTTTCGAAGTACGAAAAAATTAATATAAATTATTTAATGATATTGATGTTGATCCCTGTATCTTTCAAATTCAAAATGCAGAATAAATAATATTAGAACGACTTTTACGCGTTGTGAAACACAATTCAATTCAAATTTAATTATATTCCATTGCTGACATTTTCGTATTATCATTCTTTAGCAGAATAGAATTGCATTTGATTGAAAGAAATGTTAAAATATAATTTGAATGCATATTAATGGTATTATTAATTTTTTTCATGAATGGTTGAGTAAAGATCATGTAAAGGTCAATTTTATTTAGACATTTTTTTAAATGGAATTATACGTATATTTTTTAATAATATATCAATCGATGCAACTCGATATTTTCTATAAAAAAATATTAACATATATATTTAAAAATCATTGGTTTAGCAAATATTTCAATTTGAATAAATTTGAAATATTAATTATAATAAAATTGAAATTCAAGATTCTTCCGATTCGAACTTTCCTTCATTGATAAAATAAATCCTTAAAATATCGATGTTGCCAAAATTGAAAAAAAAGTCACTATTTACCCAAATTAGAAATAACTACTTACTTGTTACGCATTTTCCCTTGAAAAATATCTTCTTTCATTTAGATTTACAACAGTTGCAATTATAATCCTTCACGGGACATCCACATTTTTTCACGGTTTCTTTAGTAATCAGATCAGAAAACTTTTTCGGCGCGGAAGCACCGCAACAAGATGGACAAGGAGGTGGTTCCGCACATGGAGTGCATTTTCCTTCTTGACGAGCTGCTTCGCGTATCGCAGCGAACGTTTGATCAGTTGAACAGGGACACGGGGTCTGTTGCTCTTTTCGTCGTGCTTTCGGTGAGCATGGACACTGTTTTCTGAAAATGAATAAAGAATATGCTAAGAGAATACTTTTTTGATGATGGATGACGTCGAAGATAAATCGTTATACATCGAAAATTGAATAGTATTTTTTAAATTAGCTAGTATCGATTTTTTTAATAAATTTTTAATAAAAATTTTAACAAGATTGATATTTCATTTAAAATAAATACATACATCAAATTAGCTCTTATATATTGTTAAAATAACAAGTGGAGAAACAATTCAAAGTGCAATATTTCATAATTTCACCAGATGGCAGCAGAAGTCGAAATATCAGATACAGTACAGTAACTCGCAAAAATATTTAGACACTTACGTACATTTAACAATCTATATCGTTGTTGTTAATTATGAAAGAAATGAACTAACTCAAACTTGTTTCTTTCGATAGAATGTTTATTGTACTTTATAAATTTAACTTTTAAGAAATAATTTTAAAATTAACTTATAAAAAATTACTATTTTTAATTACTTTACTTATAAATTTTTTAAATATTTTTTTTATAATACAAAAAATAGTTGTAATTACATTTAATTTTTAATATTATTTTATTACATCAAGTTAATTAAATAAGTTGCACATATTTGTAAAGTACAATAAATAATCTATCGAACGAAACAAATTTGAATTTCATTTTTTTGTATAATATAATAAAGATATAGCTTGTTAAAGTTAAGCATATGTTTATGTTCAAATATTTTTTGTACTTCTTTAACGGAAGTTAAGATTCTCTATAATTGTTTACAGTAACAGATATAGTTGTTATCAAAACATTTATATTTGATAAAAATAGATGAACCTTGACTTTAATCAATATTTTAACATTAGCACGTATGTTTAAATGTACAATTATATATGCCTGTGAGTATTTGAAAGTATGTTTGAAACTTGAAAGAATGAAACGTCATATTTAAAAGTTGAGACGTGAATCATGCCTTCTTCAAAGAATTATATTAAATTATTTTTAATGACAAGTGTGAGTTTTCAAAAATTGCAAGAGCGATGATCGATTTGATGTGATTTGAGAAATACTTTTACAAGTAAGCAAGTTAACGATCACTCTCAAATATGGCGATCACCTAGTGACCGTAACAGGCAATAATCTTATGAAACTACTCTCGTATAATACTTATTAGGAATAGAAAGTTGAAAAAAGATAGATTCTACGTTCATTGCAGTCGAATACCAATGTGGTGACAACTCAAAGTGATGAGAAAAGCGTTCAATTTATAAAATTATTATATTTGAAATACTCTGATTCTATGAATAATACATATTAGCAATAGAAAGTTGAAAAAAATAAATTTTGTATCTATAATTTTCCATTAATTTAAATTTTAATGATTAAAACAACTAATTATTATTGCTAGAAGAATCACAAAAACATAATGATATAATGATATAAAAATATAAAAATTAGAAAAATCTGATTAATCTTTCTGCCGTATAATTCGTATAAAAGCAATTTTCTCGTCGTCTTTAGACTAAAAATATCCAAATTTAAATTTTTATAAACCCAATTAGAAAAATGCGATTAATGTAAACTATCTATTTCACTCTTTAAATATCACAATGTGATATTTTATGTTCTTTTATGCACATATATCATTCATATCATATAAATTTGCGATTCAAATTTTTTTTATAAACATTTACAAATAAATGTCTGTAAATGTATATTTATCATTCTTCGACGAATCTTAATTGGAGATACGAAAAATTTCTCGTAAATAAAAATCAATTTTGAAAAAGAACTAACAAAATATTATTATAGGATTATAGGAATATGAGATAAAAATATCCATATAATAATAGTATAGTAAAACTAGTTGCGCAACCGTAACGCTTATCTTCCATATTCTTTATGCGCTCGCTATATTCAACGTGTAATATAAAAGTATACGTACCCTTGACGCGAGGCGCAGCAAGGCCGTGGACCGTAATCGGGTTGTTTAGGTAACGGGGGACACGAATTGGTTTGTACGATCGGTGTCGCACAACAGGTTCTTCCTATCGTCTCGCCACTTCCATCGCACTTCTTTGTGCAGGTACATTTAACAGGGGCCGGTGTGTAACATTCGGAGGGTATTTTTTTGCATTGAAAAACAGGACTGTCATCCGCCCCCTTGAAAAGATACGGTTTCCTATTGTGCGGTATTTGAAACTGGGTGATGATCTTCTTGCCGAAACAGGAAGCTCTTATGTAAACTGTCACGGATCCAACGCATTGTCCGGTCGTTGTTGTGATTTTAAACGTGTCCTTGATCGTTTGACAAGGATTAGGTATTTTGAACACCTGTTGGCTCAACACGGCGTTTATTATCGCTTTCGCCTCGATCTGGTACGAGCCGATCAACATTACATCCGGCAACACTCCAGGTGGCAATTTTTTGTAGACGGAGAGTTTTATGGGGAAGGTGGTTAAGGGTCTTTGAAGAACGATTGATGGCAAAGCGAACAAACAGGATTTACCCTTCTTGAAAACTTGCGTGTCGCCCTCGATACAACCGCAGCCGTCTGTTAAAGCTTCTTGGCAAATGTCGATTGGGGGTAAACTGAGAATCTGTGGATTAAGATTTTTGAAAAGCGTGAATATTTTATAATATAAAAGAGGAAGTAAGAATGCAAGGGGAAAATTAATGTAATTCTTAAACGAATTATTAAAAATTAAAGAAAATTATTTTATTTATTTAACGTCGATTCTTGTATTGGAATTGATAATATCGAATTGGTATGGAACGTGTAAAGTTATATAAATATTTATTTATATAAATAATCGACACGTATTAAACAATTTAACCTGTGTAGAGGATTACTATAGTATGTACATCCTGAATAATTTTTTAAATAATATTATTGGATAAATTTTTTCAATTTTTATGATCATTTTTGTATTTATATAATACAAAAATTGTCATAATGAATGGAGGAAATGAGAAATGTTTATGCGAAGAGGTTATAGAGGTTTGGAAAAAATATAATTAACTTATCGAATATAATTTATAATAATATATAATAACGTATAAATTATCGAATTTAATATAATTTTAATTTACTTGAAATGAAACACACGTGGAAGCTGGTAATAATTCCTCTTGCATAGCTCTAATCACAGGAATTTTAACTTTGTCGACCAGAAACTCAATCAAGAATAATTCCTGTTCATCAGCCATTTTGAATACATTACGATATTTACAAGATTTTTAAAACATATTTGTTCAATTTTTAAAAAGATTATTTAACAAATCTTATTATCTTTTAACCCTCAATTTAGATATTCCCATTGAGTCGTGCGATTTCAAAAATTTCAAAGTTCAAAATCTAATAGCAATCCGAAGAAGGGGGCGCTCAATTCGAACAATCTCTATTTTACACTACTATAAGAGGGAGGGGGAGAGAGAGAGAGAGAGAGAGAGAGAGAGAGAGAGAGAGAGAGAGAGAGAGAGAGAGAGAGAGAGAGAAGAAAAAATACTAGATGACTAGAACTTTCAAATAATTAAATTCAATTTCAACAATCATTTTAATAATTCGATCAATAAATCAATATAGATATAAATATAAAATACAAATATACACGCAACAATGAGATCAATATCATTCATCGGAATCCAATCGAAAACAAATTTCTTAAAACGATCCACACCTATTCACTTCTTCTTCTTCTCCTTCTCCTTCTTCTCCTTCGCCTTCGCTTTCTTTTTCACCTTCTTCTCTTCCGTCTGCATCTCCCTTGTCTCGCACCTGATCGGGGGTCCCCTCTCCGTCCCTTTCGGCGTTTTCATCTCCAATTGTATGTCAGACTTCTCCCCAACCCCGACGATCCCCTTCTTCCCGATTCTCAGCACGAACACGTCGTGATCGGGATCGGACGTGTCCGGCCCAGGAGCATCCGATTCGGCCGCCACGGTGACCGTCGGCTTCTTGTCCTGGCCGGTGTCCAGGATCCCGGACACCTTGAGGACCACCGCCTTTCCACACGGTTGGACGGGCCCACGACTCGATTGTATCAGGCCCGTCTTGTGCACGTCCGCGCAGGTTTCAGGCTTGGACCGGGACGCCGTCAACAAGGCGCTAGGGGGCCTCGATTCCATCCCCTTCCGGCTCACGTTCGGCTTCAACGTCGCCCCCGTCGGATCCCCGCAAGGTGTGCAAGGGTGTTGCTCCTTGACGCAAACGCGGCAAGGGGGGCCGGTTTTCAACAGCTCGTCCTTCGAATCCCTGCAAACGTCCATTATCTGGGAATCGATGATACGACACTTGTAAGCCACCGATTTTTCGTTGCACTCGTCGCCTTTGAAGATGTAAGAGGAGACTGTCCGTTCCGGTGGCGCCTCGAATTCGGTGACGATCGTTTGCCCGAACGCGGATACCCTGACGTACATGCACACGGCCCCGATCACGTTGTCGTTGTAGATCAGGGGCACCTCGCCCTCGAACACTTTGGGCGGTGGCGCCATTTTGTGCCAGCATTGAAGCATTTCTTTCCTCAACGCGGCGAAATGTTTGGTAAGGTCCAACTCCCCGCTACCGACAAGCACGTCCGGTTTCACACCCTCCGGCATTTTCTTCTGCACGCACACCTTGATGATCAGGTCGAAGAGTTTGTTGATCACGTTGTACTGATCGATGGCGAACATCACGGAACGACCGGAAAAGAAATACTCGATGTCGTCCGCTATCCCCGCTTGGGGATGAAACATCGGGTCCACCGGGGTGATCTCGATACCCTCCCTCCCGGTGAAATTGAGAAATTCGACGGATATCGTGGTTGGGACAAAGAACATTTGATTGAGTTTCGCTAAACGCTCACTGGTCATGTGGTGAATGAAGAATTCCAACAGGAAGAGGTATTGCTCCTTGTTCTCGAATGCGATCACTTCACGGCTACCGAACTCCGGTATCGCCACCACATCCGTTTTCTCCTTGATTTCTTTCGAGGCCTTCTTGTTCGAACCACGTTGACCACGTTGCTCCATTAATGCAACCTGTTCGGCTCGATGACGACATCAGAATTCTTTCAGAAAACGAGGGGTGAAATATGTGATTTACGTAAAATTTCCATCGATAAAAAATGATTTGGATTAACACTTCGAATTTTTTTGGAATCCTGACAATTAGGTTAAAGGTAGTTCCGTGATGTTTGCCATAGGATTCGATTTCGCCCGCAAGATCGATCGGGTTATCGATTAGTCGTAGCGGTTACACGCGAGAACCTTGGAGAACTGGTTTCGATCTCTCCCTCCTGCGAACTCCCTCGTTCAAACTTTCGATTGATCAGCGGTCGCGGGATGATGCGAAGATTGACGATGAGAAGTTGAAACCTTTGAACCGATTTCGCGTTTCGCGCGTTTAAACAACGATGTCATCTCGATATAATCGAGATATGGTTATCTTTATCTGTATATGCGCGATGACAGGTCAAATTCCTTGTAGTTCTTGTAAAACTTCAGTGAATCATCTCGATTATGTCGTTTAATCCGTAAATTTAATTTTATACAAGTAAATTTTCCACGTGCGAGTCGATTCTTTTTTTTCTTCTTTTTTCTAAATTCAATTGCGTGAAAATGTTTATGGTACGATGATGTGTACACACACACATATATATATATATATATACATATGCATATATATTATGCTTGTATATATAGCGTTTGATCATCGAAATTAGTTTTAAAATTTCTATTTCTTTTTCTTTCTGTGATTATTAAAAGTTGAAATATATGATGCAATATACGATGACAAAGTTCAATAATAAATAATAAACTTTTTACGTTACTAAGACGTTTATACACGAAAATTTTAACGAAAAGGATAAGATATATAACCTCTTTGATCCTTTCGAAACAAAGTTTTCTTTTGAAAGATGAACGCAATTATATATAATATGATAAAATAAATTAAAAAAAAAAAAAAAATGAGCTTAATTTTCAAAATGATATTATTTCATTAATAAATGAGATTACATATTCCAATATATTTCGTATCGATAATATTAGAAACTTTTATTAATGATGTATTCTATTCACTCTTGTATAACTTATAATTTTATACAAAATATCCTATATAAATAATATGGAAAAATATTATAAAATAATATTTTACATCTTTTGAATCATGCTTAAATAAAAAACCAACCATTAATTCATCAATATTCGTTGAGATATTAAAAAATTGTCATTGTTCGAAGGAAACATATTTCTGTATAAATTCTATATATTTTCAACATACTTTTCTTTGCAACTTTCATTAATAATTCATTAACAATAGATATTCATAACTATCTTTGCTTGTAATTAATGATCGGTACAAGTTAAATGCAAGATAATAACGAATTAATTATTGCACACGATCGTCATCACTTGATACAATCCAAGCCCAAAGACAATTTGTAATTTATGACAAGTAATGTTCTAGATATAAATTTTTAAAAAACTAATTCGATGGCCAACGACTTCGTGAAACCGTAAAATCACTTTTATAATCACCCTGTCACGTTTCTAGTTTCCTGAGCCACCGCCTCTCGATTATTATCTAACCGACGTTTCGCCAACACTTAAATCAGATGGAATATTTTACCATGGAAAACCATCCATGTGCCATAAATGCGTGGCTAAGCACCTCAAGCCGATCAAACGGACAATACGTAAGTATATCGGTTTGAATAATGATTATCTTGTTCAAATATAAACGATAACTCTTCGAAGAAGGACTACTTTGTTCACTTTGGAAATAGTTTTCACATTTACGAACTCGTGAAAAAAGAAAAAAATAACCAAAGAGAATTTATAATAAATTTATAATAAAAATTAGGAAAAATTTTCCACGTAGAAAATTACGTAAATCGATTTATTTAATACAATCTTCTAATTAGTTTTTGAAAACAAATATTCATGTTTAATAAATATTTTTAATACATTCATCGTTTATGTTTTAAATTTCAATATGCATGTACTAATATTATGCATATATATATATGTATATTATATTTTTATGTTAATACTTATGATTAGATATGAAACGTAAATGAACTTTTCCACGATGTTTGAATTATCTTTGATTCGATCTTTTTTCAATCGTTAAATGATTTTTCATCAAAATTCTTCGTTTTGATGATCTTTATATCATTATATATCATTATTAATTTCTCCAAACGCATTAAAAGTCCATTCGTTTAATGAAGCAACAGTGATTTTTACATTTTTTCAAAATAGCTTTTATAATGGATTTTAAATCCGATCCAAGTAAAAGATATCCCAGATTTTTATGGCCAAACTTTGTATTATATAAATAAATTGTATTATATAAATAAATACTTATTCTCAATAAATCTAAATAGAAAATATTATATAAACATATGTTTATTCATTTTCTTTTACCAAAATGGGAAAGAAATAATCTTGCAATTACTGTGATGCAATACAGAATTAGATCGATAACAATATTTACATTTCTGCTCATGCTTATGCAAACTGTATTTCTGATAAACTAGTTGATAAACGATTTCTTCGTCGCGAAACTTTTTAAAATTTATCCTTTAATCAAAGCAGATCAATCCAAATAATTCCACTGTTATTAATTGTACGCATCAAAGGGCAATACGATATACTTCTACATATTAGGAAATCTATGTTTGACACTTTCTTAGAATAGCTCGGTATTTCCGTCGTAGAAGTCGTAAACGAAATGCGTATCTCCATACTCTAGATTCATAAATAACTATGGCATATGGTTTGTCAAAAGTTTACTAATAAAAATAAAAATCGCACATTATATATCGTTGATCGATTCTTGTATTTTTATTTATTTCTATCACGTGTTTTTTTTATTCAAATAATAAAAATTAATATCACGATAATCTCAGATCCTTTCTTTGTTTTTTCTTTTCTTATTTATTCATATATATATATATTGACAAAATTTGGCTCTCGAAATCTGGAATATTCAAAAATATCAAAATTAATTAAAATTAATTAAAATCATTAATCGATTATAATTATCTATTATAAATAATAATAAATATTCGATCACAGTACAAGTGTTAAAGTGGCAATTATATGTTTATCCCGTATCGTTTGAACGATTCTTCTCCTGTTAGTGACAATAAAAAGCTATGCCACAATTGAGTTAAGTCAATCGAATTAGAATTGTCGCGTAATTGTTACAGTCGACCCTC